TCTCACTTTTTTTTCTTTTTTTTTTCCGACAACCTCTCTTTTTTTTTTTTTTCAACCTCTCTTTTTTAGTTAGGTGAGCTGAATGTTGACAGATGAGTGGCGTGGTGCTGGACATGACAGAGGGCCTCGCTCCTCTACTCTACGTTCTACATGTATCTGGACTGTCTTGTGTACCGTGTACAGTTGGACTGATCTGACAATTGGAATGTATGTGTACCTCTTTCCGGCCCAGATTTATTCATTTAGGAGGTTGTGCAGTGGAGCGAGGCCCATAGACTCGCAATGCAGTGTCTGATGGAACGAACAAGGCAGCAGAGAGAACCCTGATGAGTGAGGTTTGTCGCTGCATCTGGACCGAAAGTTGCGCCAAATGCGGGGGAGAACAACAAGGTTCCGAACCAGCCATTCATCTCCTACCCGTCTTCACCCGAATAGAACACCCGGTCATTTTCGCTGCATCTGGATCGAAAGTTGTGCCAAATACAGCTCTGTAATGACCGCGCGTTCTATTTGGGCGAAGTAACGCAAGCACAGTTGCCTGCGTTGAGGAGGTGAGGAGCTTGGGAGAGAGGACAGCTTGGGAGAGAGAGAACAGCTTGGGAGAGAAGGCAGCTTGCGTGGGAGAGAGAACAGATTGGGAGAGAAGGCAGCTTGGGAGAAAGAGGGCATAGTGCCAGTGCCAGAGTATTTGGCCATGCCGCACAATAAGCGGCCATTCGTGACGGCCGTTTCATTGTTGTCGCTCAACGCTGCTCTCTGTTCTTCCGTCGGACCCGTCTATGACTTCATATGCAATCTCTCTTATTGGGAACGTCGGGTGAGTGACCCCAATTACCGCAACCCCAACCCCAATTACCTACATTCCAACCCCAATTACCTGCACCACCTCAATTACCTTGGCCACCCCAGTCCAATCAAATCCACCACCCCAATTACCTCCACGACCCCAGTTACAAGCAGCACCCGGATTCCAAGCACCATCCCAATTGCCCCCACCCCCACTACCTCCAGCAACCCCCACAATTACCTCTCTTACTGGGAACGTAGAGTGCAATTACCACCACCCCAACCCCAATTACCTCCACCCCAACGCCAATTACCTCGACCACCCCAGTCCAATTACCTCCTCCACCCCAATTACTTCCACCACCACAGACAATCACCACCCCAATTCCAAGCACCATCCCAATTACCTCCACCCCCCCACAGAGTGAGTGACCCCAATTACCTCCACCCCAACCCCAATTACCTCTACCCCAACTACCTTAACCACCCAAATTCCCTTGGCTACCTGAATTACCTCCACCACCCCAGTTACAACCACCACCCCAATTCCAAGCACCATCCCAATTACCTCCACCCCCATTACCTCCACCACTTTCTTATGGGAACGTCCGACATGTGACCCCAATTACCACCACTCCAACCCCAATTGCCTCCACCCCAATTACCTCTACCCCAGTTACTTTAACCAACCAAGTTACCTTGGCCACCTCAAGTACCTTCACTACCCCAATTGCCTTGTCCACCTCGATTACCTTAGCCACCCCAATTACCTTGGCCACCTCAATTACCTTAACCACCCCAATTACCTTGGCCACCTCAATTACCTTCACCACCCCAATTCCAAGCACCATCCCAATTACGTCCACCCACCCCCCACAATTACCTTTCTTACTGGGAACGTCGGGTCAGTGACCCTAATTACCACCACCCCAACCCCGATTGCCTTCACCCCAACCCCAATTCGCTCTACCCCAACCCCAATTACCTCGACCACCCCAATTACCTTCACCAACCCCCTTATCTCAAACAGCGTAATTACCTCGAGCAACCCCCCCAATTCCAACCACCACTCCAATCACCTCCAGCCCAGGCAAGTGCTTACAAACATGAGGTCCACCCCAATTACGTGCCTTCCGTTCATTACGCTGTTGCCACATTGCTCGTGGCCAGCCCCTTCGTCTTGTCTAGACTCTTCAAGATTACGTATTGGGGTTTAACGGGGTTTCAATGTGTGTATAGGCATTTAAAACAAAAGAAAAAAGGTGTGTATAGGCCTACCCTTCATCAGTGCCACTGTCGATTGTATATTGCCCCATACTACCGTTGCTGTGTGCCTCTTACCTTTAAACCTGTACCTCTACCAAGTCCCTTACCTTGACTACCGGTAGGCCACAACCTAACTGTCCCTTAACTAGACCCTAACTTAAACAAACCACCAGTACGGTTGACCCTGGAAACGCCCACACGCCAAAGAAAAAAGAACCGGCGCTGGCCTTCTTTTGGCTGCCGGCGCCAGCCATTTTGCTCCGGTAGGCCGACCACCAAAACTTCCGGCCGCATGCATGTTCCATCGGAGAAAAATGGCTGGTAAACGCACTGGTGGTTTAACACCCCCGACGAAAGAAAAGGACTGGTGCGGACCATCTTCTGGCAGGTGGCGCCAGCGATTTAGCTCCGGTAGGCCGACCTCCGAAACTTGTGGCCACCGCATCGCAGAAAAATGGCTGGTAAACGCACTGGTAGTTTAAAGCACCAGTACATGGGCACCTCGGCCGCGGGCCTGACAGCTCGAAATCTGGAAGCGCAGAAGGAAAACGCGACCACCGATGGAATTTATCGATGGCAGGCCCAGTGTTTGAAGTTCCGGCCTCGTTTTCTTGTGGCGACAAGTTTCGGACTGCAAGGCTGGGGCCGTGTACTACCTTCTTCCCCCGAATACAACGTACGGTCATTATAGCTGTATTTGAGGCATCTTTCAGTCTAGATACAGCTATAATGACCGTACGTTGTATTCGGGGGAAGAAGGTAGTGGTTTAACGCCTCCCTCAGCGAGGTCTGAAGTTAACCCTTCCCTTATGCTATTTGATGCCTACACGGTGGTCTACCGGCCCCTTTTACACGGGCTCGGCCTGCTGGACCAAAATGGCCGGCGCCGTGAGGCGAAAAGAAAAAACAAAATTGTGCCCGTGCCAGTTTGTTTATTTTGGCACGCAGCAGTAATCCGGGTCGAGAAAAAGAGGCTCGGACTGACTAGTGGGTTTAACTGGGCCCCAACTCAACCTGTCCCTTAACCAGGTGCCAACCTAACTTGACCATCAACTACCAACTCCCCCCCCCCCCCCCCCCCCCCCCCCCCCCCACACACCCCCCCCCCCCCCCCCCCCCCCCACCGCACACATACAACTGAACCCCTCCCTCAACCAGTCCCCTTAAACCACTAGGCCATCCGGAGCTAAATTGACGAGGCCAGGATTTCCCGCCCACTTTTTATGGGTACATAATTTCATCAAAGCACGAATAGAGTCGAGAGTTTCCCCCCTCGGCTCGAAGAGTCTAGATGGTCGTGACAAGTGCTGTCTGAACTGTGCGAGATGGTTGCTCATCACACGGCTCTCCAACTCAAGTTGCCTTATTATTATATAAATAATATAAATAAATGAAATAAATTCAAAAAATGCATTTTGCTGAGCCTAAAATTGATGGGTACCGGCCTTTCGAAAAGGTGGTGGTAGTATCGCTACAGACCTTTCTTTGTACAATGAAGATTCTGGACCCTAAGCCACCAGGTGGGACGAAAAACTGGCCTTTTCGGGGATTTCCACTTTCCTACCATGTCCCACCTATTGCCTCTACAGTACTACCACTCCTATTCCTACTATAGTGACCTGGTGTTCTACTCGGGCAAAGACAGCACCTTTTTGTTCTTTCCCTCCCACTTGTACACACGTCGTGTGTGTGTGTGTGTGTGTGTGTGTGTGTGTGTGTGTGTGTGTGTGTGTGTGTGTGTGTGTGTGCTTGCTTGCATTGGTGTTGTCATGGTCGCTATACACAACTCCACCAAAAATATCATGTGGAGGGGTGCAGAAAATAGTGACTTGTGGTGTGTGGTGTGTGGTGTGTGGTCCAATGATCTCTGTGTCATGTCTCGTGTACTCACCACGGGCGGGGTAGAGGAGTCAGGTTGGGTAGAGATAGTAGGTCTAGATTAGGTTAGGTGGGAATTTGTGTAGAGATTGTGGGCCCTGTCCGAGAGGCGGTTAACGAAGGCCGCAATTTTTCAGACAACTTGTCATGGCATTTATAACAAAACCCAAGGGTCATTTAAACCAAACTCGCCACCAATTCGTAGAGTGGAGATCATACTAACTACTTACAAAAAAAAAAACAAAAAAATAAAAATAAAAAACATACAAACAGCAAGGCAAAAGTGCATTTTCATGAAATTTGGCCAACATGGAGGGACACAAGCCTGTCTCTTATACACATCTAGATGTGTATAAGAGACAGGAGAGAGAGAGAGAGAGAGAGAGAGAGAGAGAGAGAGATTTGGGGGGAGAGGAGGGAGGGAGGGAGGTTGTGTTTTTTCTTTATTGGAACTGTTTTTTTTTCTGCTATAGCTGTGACATCGGGGCCTGAGCTTTTTTTTTTTTAGGGGGAAAAAAAAACGTTCGCTGTTCTAACCCAAAAAAACTTAAAAAAAGAGAATAAAATAAAAGCCTGAGCTTTTTTTTTTAAGGGAAAAAAAAAAAAACTGAGCTTTTCGGTATGAGTGCGGAGTATGTGGCAACATTTCTTGTCTCTGGCGCTCACCATCTTTTGGTACTTGTTGTGAATAAGGCATTGGGAAAAAAAACAGAAAAGGAAAGAAGAAAAGGACTTCCAGAAGCTTTCCTATTACCAAAAATTCCCCCTCCCCCCCAAAAAAAACTAAAACTAAAATAATAATAAAAATAAAATGATAATAAAAATAAAATAATAATAAAAATAAAAAATGAAATGGTTGACCTGTGGTGTACCCATGAACTGTTGAAATACAGACCTCAGTTGGAATCCCGATGGACTCAGATGAGTAAAAAAAAAATAACTCTGAAATTCTGAATTTACTTGGGGCCTGTCAGTTTGAAGATGATTTTTTTTTTTTTTTTAATGAAGATGATATGTCAAAACCGTCGCCCTTGTTAAAAAGAAAGAAAATCATCAAATTATTATTAACCAAATGTAAAAAAATAAAAAATTTTCGCTCTGCAAACTTTCAAAGGCATGGATATGGGTCGACCCCTTACGTCTATAAATCAAACGAGACAGCCCCCCCCCCCCCCCCCCCCCCCCCCCCCCCCCNAAAAAAAAAAAAATCCTGAAAAAACCTACAAAACAGCAAGGCAAAAGTGCACTTTCATGAAATTTCGCAAACATTCCAATTTCAGAAATCTCATCACAGTAAATTCCAATGGCCCAAATGATACCAAATTTGCCACACAGCAACCTTAAACCAAAAAAAAAAAAAAAAAAAAAAAAACATAAAATTTGACCCCCAAACCCTAATTTCAGTTTGGGACCCGTTACTCAGGATCTGAACATTTGGGTCCCGCTTAACCACTTGTGGCCGTTCTGTGTGCGCCGCCTCGTTCGTATGGACAGCTCTGTGGGTGTGTCATGGGTGTCTTCTGGGTACCGTAGTAGTTTCCCGGCCTCATGGTAGACCCGCGAGAGTTCATACTTACATTGTACGATCCTGGTCGCGGTCTGACTCTGCTATCTGCACCCCCCTCGAGTAGTGGTAAGGGTTGGGTGTTAGGCATATATACAATTCCCAAGGGCGGGCCTCATATCTTACGATGCTTGCGGGCTGGGCTTCATCCGGGCAGGTACCTGTCTGCGTTCCCATAATGCTGGCCCCACCCACAGATTTCTCACCAGTTGACCTGTTGTGCATTTATGATGATCGGTCACTGCCTCGGCACAACCCACAATATAATGTAGTTCCACCTCGGCTTAAATGCCACGTCAGCACGCTCTCATCATCCAGTGTGC